TACCACTGTTAACACACAGGGAGACTGGACTATACTCTCATTGGCATTCTGTTCTCAGCCGACAGTTTATTTCCGGAGAGTCAGAGACTCATCTAACTGGAAGGGGTCTTGGAAAGTTGATCAACCCTTGCACCCAGAGCAGGAGCATCCTGACAAATAGGCCTCTTGGTCTCTGAACACCTGCTACATTTGCCCTCTCACCTACCCTCCAGTTCCATTGTCAGACAGCTCCTGTTTTGGAATATTTTCTTTATAAAAAAAAGTGAATTTTGTTTCTCATTGTGTCTTTTAACATCTCTTACAAATAAACTACTCATTTCTTTTTCTCTAGATCTTTTAGATATTTGAAAGAGAGGAGAGAGAGCGAGAGAGAGAGTGCAAGTACCATGAATATGGTTTGTCTATTATAGCCCCTGTTGATGTGGCCCCTATATTGATTGTCTCTGTGTCGGACAACTCTCATCTATTAATACACTTCTTGAGGCCAGGGAGCCTTCCTCCCCATCCACACACCTCCACAGTGTGTAATGCAGGAGCTCAGTAAGCGCTCCTTGAATTGCTGACCAGTGGTCCTGTAAGCACTTGAAGGCTGCTCTCAGTGTCCCCACCCTGCTGGGGATCAGCATCAGAGCTCATTCTCTGGATTCCCCAGGGTGAGCTGATTCAGCCCAGAGCTGTACTCCCTGCCTTTCCCAGGCACCTTGTCTCCTGTGGACTCAAGTGGGCTGGTGGGGACCTGACAGCCTATGCTTTCTCAGGAACTCCTACTCTTGTGTGAACTGAATGTTTGAGCTAAATCCACAATTCCCATCTCTATTTCTGTTAAAGTTCATCTTGTGATGGTTTCAGTCCACCACTCTCCAACCTGCAAAGATCTTTCTGAATCATAGCTGTGTCACCTTCTCATCAGATACCAATGCCAGCTATGCACCAGCTGAAAATGATTCAACAAGCATTTATATTTGTCCAGGGAGGCTTTTTAAGATTTATTTAATTCTTATTTGAAAGGGAGGAAAGAAAGAAAAGCAAGCTGGAGAGACAGGAAGAGAGAGAGAGGGAGAGAATGAGAGAGAGAGAGAGAGAGAGAGCGAGAGAGCACTATCCTCCACCTGCTGGTTCACTCCTCAAATTCCTGCAACACTCAGGGTGGAGCCAGGCTGAAGCCAGAAGCCAAGAATTCAATCTCGCTCTCCCATGTGGGTGACAAACTAAGGACTTGAATCATCATCCAATGCCACCCAAGGTGCGCATTAGCAGGAAGCTACAATCAGAAGTGGAACCAGGACACAAATCCAGGCTCTCCGATGTGGATGTGCCATCTCAAGTAGCATCTTAACCACCATGCCCAATGCCTGCCCTGTAAGATAGACTGTTGAAAAAGTACTGGGCGAGAGAGGAGGAATGATGAAGCTCGAACACATGAAACTGCCATCGTAATAGGTCAAAGTAATCAAACGCCAGCAGTGCATCAGAGAGCAGTCTGAAGTGTTGTCCCAGGGATCACCCAGATGGGAGGCATCAGTCAAGCCTCTCTGGCTGCCCCTGCTTGCTAAGTGTGACTCTGCCTTGCCATGGCACTGTGTGCCCAGTACTCCCTCCTGCTCATGGGCAATTGCTTTGCAGTAACCTCACAGGGCAAAAGGAAGAGTGGGCACCATATAGCAGCCTGCTTTGTTGAGCCTAGCTGTGCACACAATAGCTGTGTGGCCTCTGGCAAATTAAGTGACCCTTTGCATCTTTGGTTCCTCATCCAGCCAATGGAGATAATGGTAGTACCTGACTCACAGAATTCTTTGAGTCCTGAATGACTGGAGGGCTTGGAGCATCCTTTGCACATGTGGGCGTTCAGTAAATATTGACGATTATTCCTATAACACACTTCTTTAGAACACCATGCTGAGCCCAGGGATTTTCCTTTATTACACCACCTACTCACACACTGTTAATTCAATCAGCCTAGAGCTTTCCTGGGAATCGTCATCAAGTTCAACGGGTGGTAGAAAGATGAGGGCACTGGTCCTTCTTAAGGATCTCAGTAGAGGTCCTCGTGCCCATTTGTTTCAAGGTTTATGTGAGGGTTTCCCTGCCACATGTGCACAGTTGTCATCCAGCAGGCAGATCTGAGTCCTTTCAAAGTGAGTAAGAGGTCTCCTGCTCTTTGTTCAACTGGTGAACAGTGTCCAAGCCCTCTCCCAGCCAAGATGGTGCTACCCACCTCCGTGACAGAGAAGACTACAGACGAATTGGCCTGCCTTCCCTGGGCTGCTGTCAGCACTGGACTGGGCGATGGCCACACACTTTCTGCACTCCTCTCAGCTCCACACCTACACTCCCTTCTGGGTTGTCGTCAGTGTGCTTCACCAGCCTGCCTGGGTCTTGCCCTGTAGTCGGCTGGCACAGGGCACCCACTTGGGGGTTCTTTGTGTGGGCCCCAGCTGGGGTTCTGAATCATCAGGGAGCCTCCTCTGCAGCCAAGCTGGCCTGTCTCCTAGGGTCACCTGTTTTCTCCCTGATGGTGATCGTTTATAAGTTAGGATTTCTGCTGAGTGCCAATCATTCCTCTCAACCTACTTTCTCTTTGAATTCAGACTGTAGAATCACTGCGATTTTTTTTTTCCTCCAAACTTTTTGTATGATGTTTTCTTAACCTCTGGGTTAGATGTCATGACTGGAACAAACATTTTCTTCTCACACTGTGGCATGATCCCTTGTACGTAGGGTTGATCTCAACCCCACTGCTTTCCTTCCTGATCTTTAGCGTTGGTCAGTAGAGAGCAGAAAATGACCCTTTACGTCACTGTGCCTTACACCTTCTGAGAGAGTGAATTATTGCCGAGGGAAATGTAGAATTTACTATCATAGGCTTTTGGCAAGGAGGCAGAACAAGACTTCCATTAATTATTTTAGGTAAGCTTTTCTTTTTATTTTTTAAAGGTTTTTATTTATTTTTATTAAAGATTTATTTATTTATTTAAAGTCAGAGTTACACAGAGAGAGGAGAGGCAGAGAGAGAGAGAAAGAAAGAGAGAGAGAAGTTTTCCATCTACTGGTTCACTCCCCAATTGAGTGCAACGGCCAGAGCTGTGCCGATCCGAAGCCAGGAGCCAGGAGCTTCTTCTGGGTCTCCCATGTGGGTGTGGGGGCCCAAGGACTTGGGCCATCTTCTACTGCTTTCCCAGGCCATAGCAGACAGCTGGATTGGAAGTGGAGCAGCCAGGACTGACCCAGTGCCCATTTGGGATGCCAGCACTTCAGGTGGTGGCTTTGTCCACTATGCTACAGTGCCAGCCCCAGTAAACTTTGCAATAGACTACAATATGCAAAGAGAGGTTAGTGAATTTCCACAAACACAGCCAACTACCTCCCTCTCACAAAGCCTGTTAGCTCCACTGAAACTCCCTCTTGCCTACTAAATTAGTTTTAGTGGAGTTATAATCTGTAGTAGGAAGACGATGATAGCCACACCAGGAAAAAAGGTTTGTTTAGGACGTGACTGTGTGCCAAGTGCTGTGTTGGAGAACTTTATAGTGCATTGCCCATGCCAGTCCCCAGGCCAGCTCTGGGAGGTGGGTCTTAGTATTACCCCTGTTCTAAAGGTAAGAGACTGAAGCTCAGAGAGGTTGGATTACCTGTCCAGGGTCCCCAGATGGGACTCAACTCCAGTTGAGCTCATTCTTGAGACTACACTCTTAACCATTACAGTGAAAACCCAGTGCCCAGCCTCTACCTGGCCAGCAGGGTTTCATAGCATCAGCACCGTTGACATCTGAGGCTGGGTGCTTTCTTGCTCTGGTCTTGTACATTTCAGAATGTGTATAAGCATCCTAGCTTCTACCCACTAGATGCCCAAAGCACTCTGGATTCCCACGTGTCCCGACAATCAAATGTCACTAGATATTGTCACAAGGTCCCTGAGTAGGCAGTGCCTTCTGAGCTGCTGCCCTGCAGTCCAGCATGCATTGGACACTCTGAATGCAGAGGTCTGCTGGGCTTGGTCCTCCACACACCTTCCACAGACTTCTGGAGCCCCGGAGAGCACTGCTCCCATCTCTCTTCCTTTCTGCCCTTCTACAGATAATACTGGGCACTTGCTCCTGTATGCTGCCTCCTCCTGCCTAGCGTGCAACGCCCTCCACATGAGTAACCCCCTGGCAGAGTCACAGAAGAAAGAGCTGGCACACCTGAAAGGGCAGTTGTTAACCTGGGGAAACTGAGGCTGGAGAATGCAGCAACCTGGGGGTGGCAGTCACAGGGAGTTGTTACCACTCCCAGGTCTGAAGGGGCAACAGGAAGGCGTGGTTATCTGAATCCAGCGGGAGCGCCCACCAAGTGGCGCTAACAAGGCAAAGAGAAAGTATGGGGTCCAGGGCTGCAGCCTGTGTGGTCAGCTTCCCAGGCTTGGAGCAGGTGGAGGGTGGCGAGCAGATGCGTGAGGCAGCAGTTTTATCTCCACACACTTCTCTGCCCCTTTCATTTATGTCCTCTTTATCAGGTGGGAGTGCTCCTTGCCAAACGTGTGCATCCTAGTTTTTAGAGATGCCGTTTTCTTGCCAGGAGCTTAGCATTCTGGTATTAACAACTCTGGTTTAGAAAACCAAATCCTGTTTTGGATCTATCAGTGTAGCCAGCTGTTCATTTCTCCTCTCCTCCTGTCTCTTCCAAGTCACAAAGCTGGCCGAAGACAGGAGAAGCCTGCTTTGCTTTGTCAGATCTGGGAGGGCTTCTCCATCAGCATCAGGAAGGAGTGAACTGCCTTCTAGACTTTTCTTCATCTGATGCCAGGAGCAGAGTTTTCCAAACCTGCCGGTGCCTGGATATTGTCTTGATTATTCTCCAGGGCAGACGCCATCTCTTCCTCACAAGGGCTGGATGCACCTGGAGCAGGAAGGGGTTCAGGGTTGCCGGAGAAACCTTCAAGGTAGGAAAGAGGGAGAGACCCCTCTGTCTCCTTAGAAATACCCCTGCAATTGTATGACGTTCGGGTTTTTTTTTAATTGCAGGTCTAGGAACCCTTGTCCACTGTGCTAAGGACAGCAGGAAGGCTTCCTGAACCCCTTCACCTTCTCCAGGGAGACCAGTGGCATTCAGAGGCACAGGGAAGCAGACGAAGAGGGAGAGAGACAAACCAAGCGCACTGTCTCCAGAGCGCTGCCGTTGGTGCTCCTGCCACTGGAGAGCCGGGTTGACAGCAGCTGCCTGCAGTTGCCCCATTTCAGCTCCTGTTTGCTCCTGCCTTCCTGCTCTCCTGGGAACTCTTGGTAACAGTGCCATTAAGTTGATGTGGCTGTTTTCCTCCTCTCCTCTAACCGCTGATAGTCTGTGAGGTATTAGTTATCAGCAAGAAGCTACTCCAGCTGGGGATCATGCGCAGTCCCGTTTGGTGAAGCAGCAAACAGAGCTCTAGCCACAGAGACTCAGGGTGGTGGCACCTCGTCCCCATCTGCCCACCTCTTGCCCTGCATACTCCTGGGCTGCTGGGCTCCTTGTCATAATTGTAGATTATATTACGCATGTGTTACTTCTGGGGCTGGCTCTGTGGCTTAGCAAGTAAAGCCACCGTTTGCAGTGCTGGCATCCCATATGGGTGCAGGTTCAAGTCCCAGCTGCTCCACTTCTGATCCAGCTCTCTGCTATGGCCTGGGAAAGCAGTAGAAGATGGCCCAAGTCCTTGGGCCCCTGCATCTGTGTGGGAAACCCAGAAGAAGCTCCTGGCTTCAGATCGGCGCAGCTCCAGCCATTGCAGTCATCTGGGGAGTGAACCATCAGATGAAGGACCTCTCTCTCTCTCTCTCTCTCTCTCTCTTTGCCTCTGCCTCTCTGTAACTCTGCCTTTCAAATAAATCTTTAAGAAAAAAAACTTTACATCTGAGTATAATTGCTTAATCCTTCTCATTTGTGAATAGTATATGCATGGATTCCAAAGAATGTTTGCAGGCCTGTCATTGTGGCATAGCAGGTAAAGTGACACAAGCATCCCATGTGGGTGCCAGTTAGAGTCCCAGCTACCCCACTTCTGATCCAGCTTCCTGCTGATGTGCCTGGGAAAGCAGCAGAAAATGGCCTGGAGCTTCTTCTGGGTCTCCCACATGGGTGCAGGGGCCCAAGCACTTGGGCCATCCTCTACTGCTTTCCCAGGCCATAGCAGAGAGCTGGATCAGAAGAGGCACAGCCTGGACTAGAACTGGTGCCCTTATGGGATTCAGGCGCTTTAGGCCGAGGCTTAGCCCACTACGCCACAGTGCCGGCCCCTGTATGCATATTTTTTAAAGTAGCCAGTACTTTAAAACACTGATTAAAACAACTCTATTTGGGGCAGTTATTTGGCCTGGCCATTAAAGTGCCTTATCTCACATCAGAGTGCCTACGTCTAATACCCAGCTCTCTCTCTGATGCAGACCCTGGGAGGCAGCAGTGATACTTACGAGATCTGACCCCTGTCACTTACATGGGAGACCTGGATTGAGTTCCCAAGCCTTGGCTTCAGCCCCAGCCCATTCCTGGACCCGTGGGGAGTAAACCAATAGATGGGAGCTTTTCCTTCACTCCCACCTTTCCCTCTGCCCCTCAAATAGTAAGTAAAATTTATGTATTTATGTATGTATGTATGTATGTATTTACTGAAAAGCAGAGAGACAGATTGACAGGGAGAGATCTTTCATCCACTGGTTCACTCCCAAATGCTTGCAATAACTGGGCTTGAACCAAGTCAAAACTGGGAACTCAGAACTCAATTCGACGTCTCCTATGTGGGTGGCAGGGATCCACCCACATAGCTCTGCATCAGCAGGAAGCTGGAATTGGAAGAGGAGCCGGGACTCAAACCAGGCACTCCCAACAGGCATCTTAACTGCTGAGCCGAACACCCACCTCAATCAATAATTTTTGAAAATTATACTTAGGAAAAACCACCTATACACAAATAATAGGAGTGATAGAACACAATTATAGCAATATGTAGCTTTTGTAACATGTTTGCTTTTCAAATTACTTTCGACATTTTCTTGACATTCATAGCATTTTTGTGGCGTATGTAAAGCGTCTTTACAGTACAGGTAAGACAACTCAGGTAGACACTTATTTTATTCTCACCTCTGACTTCATTGGTTTCACATGTATTATCTGATCAGATTAAATCCACCTCTGTAAATTTGGCTATCAAGTTCATCTGTCCTGTGACTCTGTCCTTGCTGTTAGAGAATATACACTGAAGCTTTATGGATAAAGGAGCACAATCTGCTACTCAATCTCAAATGGTTAAAAAAAAAATGATATCCAGGGGCCGGCGCTGTGGCGCAGTGGGTTAACACCCTGGCCTGAAGTGCCGGCATCCCATATGGGTGCCGGTTCGAGTCCTGGCTGCTCCTCTTCTGACCCAGCTCTCTGCTGTGGCCTGGGATAGCAGTAGAAGATGGTTCAAGTCCTTGGGCCCCTGTACCCACGTGGGAGACCTGGAAGAAGCTCCTGGCTTCTGGCTTCAGATTGGCACAGTGGCCAATTGGGGAGTGAACCAGTGGATGGAAAAAGACCTCTCTCTCTCTCTCTCTCTCTCTCTCTCTCTGCCTCTCCTCTCTTGGTGTAACTCTGACTTTCAAATAAATAAATAAATCTTTAAGAAAAATGATATCCAGGGATATCCTTGCTTGTGCACGTTTGTGTGTAGGTGTGTGTGTATGCACGCACGTGTGTGTGTGTGTGTGTGTATGTCCATACGGAGAATGCAGGTGAAATCTTTTTGATTACTTTCAAGAGTAGCTAGAACACCAATTCATTATTCTGAAAGTTGGGGGTTTTGAGGAAATGATTTTTAAAAGTCAACTAGTCAGATATTTATGGTAAAAAGATAATTTGCCAAAAAAATTCTTTAAAAAGTGTTACCAGGAGGGCTGGTGTGTGGCACAGTGGTCAAGTCACCACTCATGGTACTGGCATCCCATATTGGCGAGCTGGTTGGAGTCCCGGCTGCACCACTTCCACTCCAGCCTCCTGATGATGTAGCTGGAAAGGCAGTAGAAGGCCCAAGTGGGAGATTAGAAGGGAGTTCTGGCTCCTGGCTTCAGCCTGGCCCACATCTGGCTGTCACGGCCATTTTGAGAGTGAACCAGCGGATGAAAGATCTTTCTCTCTGCCTGTTACAACCTCTCTGTCACTCTCCCTTTCAAACAAATGAAATTAAATAAAGCTTAAAAAATGTGTTTTCCAAAATCTCGATCACACATCACAGTGAATCAGAAATAGCTTGAATGTAGCCTCTGGGCTGTTTATTTGTAATTCACAATACATACCTGTGGACTCACACATTTATGTGCTTTATAAGGCACCTATATTCCCGGAAAGGGAGTACCTACACAGTAAATAAATTTATGTTAAGATAATATTAATTTTGTTTACTAATAATAGAAAACCCTTTTTAATTTCATTAAAATTAATATCTATAAATAATACATAGGGAAAGTAATGTGACAAAAGATGTTTAATTGATTTTTAGAAAATCTTGGCTTAACAATTTGTGATTCAACAACTTCAAGTTCTTTTTTTTAACTTTTATTTAATAAATATAAATTTCCAAAGTACAGCTTATGGATTACATGGCTTTCCCCCCCCCATAACTTTCCTCCCACCCGCAACCCTCCCATCTCCCGCTCCCTCTCCCATTCCATTCGCATCAAGATTCATTTTCAATTATCTTTATATACAGAAGATCAATTTAGTATATATTAAGTGAAGATTTCAACAGTTTGCACCCACCCAGAAACATAAAGTGTAAAATACTGTTTGAGTACTAGTTATAGCATTAATTCACATTGAACACCACATTAAGGACAGAGATCCTACATGAGGAGTGAGTGCACAGTGACTCCTGTTGTTGACTTAACAAATTGACACTCTTGTTTATGGCATCAGTAATCTCCCTAGGCTCTTGTCATGAGTTGCCAAGGCTATGGAAGCCTTTTGAGTTCGCCAACTCCGATCTTATTCCGACAGGGTCATAGTCAAAGTGGAAGTTCTCTCCTCCCTTCAGAGAAAGGTGCCTCCTTCTTTGATGGCCCGTTCTTTCCGCTGGGATTTCACTTGCAGAGATCTTTTTTGCTTTTTTGTTGTTGTTCTTTTTTGCCAGAGTGTCTTGACTTTCCATGCCTGAAATACTCTCATGGGCTCTTCAGCCAGATCCAAATGCCTTAAGGGCTGATTCTGCCTACACAGCACTCTGGCCTCAGAACTTCAAGTTCTGATTTCGAGCTTTGTCTATGCTGATTCTGGGTTTTAAAGATGGCCATAGGAGAGAAAGGATCTCACAACAGGTGAAGATCCAAATGGCCCAACCTGCATGTGCTGGTTTTCACTGAACTTCGGCAGGTGAAGTTCCATTTCTCCCTGCTCCAATCCGTGTGTCCTTGCAAACTGCTCAGAAGATGTTGGATTTTAGCATTTAAAAATCCAGCGGGGGCTGGTGCTGTGGCATCGCAGGTGAAGCCGCCATCTGCAGAGCTGGCATCCCATATGGGCACCAGCTGCTCTGCTTCCAATCCAGCTCCCTGTTGACAGCCTGGGAAAGCAGTGGAAGATGGGTAAGTGCTTAGGCCCCTGCACTCACGCAGGAGACCTGAATAAGGCTCCTGGCTCCTGGCTTCGGCCTGGCACAGCTCTGGTTGTTTTGGCCATTTGGGGAGTGAACCAGTAGATGGAAGACCTCTCTCCCCTCTCTCTCTCAGTCTCTCCCTCTCTATATAGCTCTTTCAAATAAATAAACAAATAAATATTTTTTAAAAATAAAAATGAAAGTAAATAAAAATTTAGAGTTAACATTCATTGAATGCTTGTTTTAAAAACATTTTGAATAAAAAATTGATTCCAGATTCTTTTTTTTTTTTTTTTTTTGACAGGCAGAGTGGACAGTGAGAGAGACAGAGAGAAAGGTCTTCCTTTTGCCATTGGTTCACCCTCCAATGGCTGCCACGGCCGGCGCGCTGCGGCCGGCGCACCGCGCTGATCCGATGGCAGGAGCCAGGAGCCAGGTGCTTTTCCTGGTCTCCCATGGGGTGCAGGGCCCAAGCACCTGGGCCATCCTCCACTGCACTCCCTGGCCACAGCAGAGGGCTGGCCTGGAAGAGGGGCCACCGGGACAGAATCCGGCGCCCCGACCGGGACTAGAACCCGGTGTGCTGGCGCCGCTAGGCGGAGGATTAGCCTAGTGAGCCGCGGCGCCGGCCCCAGATTCTTTGTAAGTGATACAAAAATAAGGGTTTTAGTTTTTTAACGGGTGATACACTTTTTGGGGGAAGGGGACAAAAACCTTACTGCTATATTTCAAAATGATTTTTCAAAAAACACCAGTTTCTTTTGAAACATTGTCACTTTATCACTCTTTGTTACTTTTAAGGAGCTGAGTTTAATTTTTTTGAAAATTCAAGAGACACATTTGGTTACAAACTATTTAGGTCAGAAGCTTTCTAGAACTTCTCTTTCTGTGAAAGAAAAATGTTGAATTCCACTTCTTATCTCACACCTCTTCAAAGTGATTTTTCATGAGTTCACCAGCAAATTTCTCTGGATATAAAAGATTTTCATACTCACTCTTCATTTTCATTAAAAATACACTGGAAAGATTCTTCTATGGGGCCGGCATTGTGACATAATGGGTAAAGCTGCCTCCTGTGACTCCAGCATCCCATTTGGGCGCTGGTTCGAGTCCTGGCTTCTCCACTTCTGATCCAGCTCCCTGCTAATGTGCCTGAGAAAGCAGTGGAAAATGGCACAGGTGCTTGGACCCTCTACTCATCTGGGTGAGCTGGAATAAGCTCTCGACTCCTGGCTTCAGCCGGGCCCGGTCTTCGCCGTTGTG